TGAAGCAGAAAAGGTAAAAGGTTGCTTCTGATGGCTCTTCCATTTTTCCTCCTGCCGCTCCACAGTCTTTCTAGAATTCCAGAGCTTCTAGAGGCCCCTGACAGACAGGAGGCTGAGGCTTATAGGTGCCATCCACAGCCAGCAGTGAGCCGGGTGCACTCACTGACTGCCCTGCTCTACCTGCTCTCAGGGTCTTACTCCTGCTCTTCACATGACTGCTTTGGTTTTTGAGGAGTGACAGGGGGGAGAGTCGGATTCCTTTTGGGTAAGGTGGTGGTTTGGGTTTTGTTCTGTTTTTAGCAGTTGATTATAGTTTTCTGTGCTTCATTATCTTGTCAGATTTTTAAAACATGTTTTTATTGATTTTAGTGAAAGAGGAAGGGGAGGGGCAGAGAATCATTGATGAGAGAGAACATCAATCAGCTGCCTCCTACCCGGCCTCCTACTGGGGATTGAGCCCACAACCTGGGCATGACCAGTGAGCTCTTGATTCACGAGTCTGTGCTCAACTGCTGAGCCACACAGGCTCGTCTGCTTTCCAGATTTTGCTTGTATTTCTTACTAGCATAGTTCAGCAGAGAGGTGAGATACTGTTTTAACAAGTCCTAGCCCAGGAGGTACATTTGCCACCAAAGTAGTCACTACTGTCAAAGTAGTCACTAGTCTCATGGCGCTGCCCTCTGTCTTTCTAAGAGTGGATGCTACTTGACTGTCATGGGGTGATGGAGAGGTTGTATATAACTCAGAAGTTTAACTGCCTCTGAGCCCTTTGTGAGATGGTTTGTCAATGTCTGCTTCATACTAGTGTATCTGTTAAGAAAAATAGCACAACTAAACTTCCAGAAGGATCCATCACATGCTTACACAAGCGGTCGCCATTGTCACTTGTCCTGTCTGAGGCTCTGTGTCATTGGCTCTAGTGTGGACAGACTTGAAGAAGTTGTGTCCCAGCCCCGGAGGAGCTCTCAGTCTGGTGAGGGTGCTGAATTTGAGAGTATGATGTAGGTCAAGAATGCAGGCACACCCATGTTCACATGGAGACAAATACATTCCAGGAGTGAGGCTGCTGGCTGGAAGCTGACTGTATGGAGCTGGCATGAGAGCTTGCTCAGCTGGGGCTTGAGCCACACTTGTCCAGAGGTGTGTAGCAGTGCATTCCTTAAAACCTGTGCTGAGTGTTCTTTTCAATCATGTCTTAGAATGACTCTTTTTTTATTTTGTTAATCCTCATCTGAGGATATTTTTTCCATTGATTTTTAGGGAGAATAGAAGAGAGAGAGGGAAAGACAGAAAATTGATGTGAGCGAAACACATCAATTGGTTGCCTCCTGCACGGGCCCCAACCAGGACCTGGGCCGTGGAGAATCCTGAAACCAAGGGACATGCCTTTGACTGAAATTGAACCTTGAACGCTTTGGTCTGCAGGCTGACTCTCTAGCTACTAAGCCAAACCGGTTAGGGCTAGAATGATTCTTGACAAGTGGCCCACCTCCCTGGAGTAGTGGGGTCAGGTAACAGGACCTGAGGTCAGATCTTGATTTCTGCCTTGGGCTCCTTTGTGTCTTCTCCTTGAGCCTCAAGAGTTCTGATTTCTCCAAAAGGGGTAATGAAATCTTCATGGAAATGTGAGAATAGCTAAGTTATTAATTGTAATAATAAGTAAGTGTAAAATAGCTAGCATAGTGCTGCCCTGTGGAAGGGGTAATGTGTTGGTGTGGACGCCACTCCCTTTGCTGATTATTAATTGAAATAAGAGAATTGTGTTTGGGGCTCTGAAGCCTTACGTTTAGATTTATAGTATTTAATTACATTGAAGTAATGATTTTATTGTCATTGCCATTGGTTGCTTGGTGCAATCTTGGAAAGTGCATTTCTGTCAAAATTAGTTACTTTTCTACTGTCACACAAAAACAAGGAGTGGGCCTTTCATATTACTAAATCTCCTACCAGTTGTGTAACTGGTATTTTGAGAGAGATCCTGTACTTAGATGTAAGGCAGATTTATGTTATTTTCTCTCAGACACCCAGCTCCATCTGCCAGGTTTCATTTTGCCTGGCCAGGAGGTGCCTAGAAACGTTCCTTGCACAACACAAACATTTAATGATTGGCTGTGAAGGGCCAGTTGTAAATACTGTGTAAGTTCGTGCTTTTTGTCATAAATCTTGGAAAGTGCTATTGCAGAGCAAGCGAAGCCCTCCCAGGACCCTGCTCCAAAAACAGGAGCGCTACACTGCCTATGCCAGTGTAAGTGTTAACACCCGAATTGCTTGTGTAGCTGATGTGATTATGAGGGGAATGGTTCCTGGCTCTGGTTCTAGTCTGGCCCTGCCCTGTACAAGATCTGTAACCTGGGCCTTGGCTCTGTCATCTATAAAATGAAGCCAATATGTCTGATTTGCCTATCTCAGATGTTGTGACCTTTCAGTCGTATCCTATGAGCTGTAAACATTGCAGGGTGTCATTACAACCAACCACTTCTTCTCACCCTTTCTCACTGTCTTGCTCCTGCTTTTCATGTGGCTGCATTTGGTGCATGCTTCTTGCACCAAAGGCATGCACCTTCCCTAGCATCTCTCCATTCTTGTTCTTTGTTAGGATTTTGAAGGTGATGACCCTAAGCTGATGCCCTCCAGAGGCAATTGTGATGTACTATTAGCAAGCCCCTGCCTTACTTTTTGTTTGTTTATTTTAAAATTGAGATATAACCAGGGCATTTCTGAAAGCTTTGTGCTAACACCATAAACATTTATTTTTTATTTAAGACCCCATGAGTTCTGGTCATAGGCCACTTGGTTTTGTTAAACCTCACCTGAGAATATTTCCTTTTCCCATTGATTTAAAAAATAATGTATATTTTTGTTGATTTCATAGATGAAGAGAGAGGGAAAGAGAGATAGAAACATGAATGATGAGAGAGAATCATTGATTGGCTTCCTTCTTTATGCCTCCCTACTGGGGATCGAGCCTGCAACCCTGGCATGTACCCTGAATGGGACCCTTCAGTCCGCAGGCCAGTGCTCTATCCATTGAGCCAAACCAGCTAGGGCTCCCATTGATTTTTAAAAAAATCTTTATTGTTGAAAATATTACATTTGTTCCCCTTTCCCCACATTGATCTCTTCTAGCTCCTCCCTTTCCCCTAGCCTTCACCCTATTATTTGTGTCCTTAGTCTTTTCCCATTGATTTTTTAGAGAGAGTGGAAGGGAGGGAGGGAAAGAGATACAGAGAAAGAAATATCAATGTGAAAGAGACACATCGATTGGTTGCCTTCCCCGATGTGCCCCTACCAGGACCAGGGATCTCGCTTGCAGCTGAGATGTGTGCCCTTGACTAGAATTGAACCTGAGATCTTCCAGTCTGCAGTCCAGTGCTCTATCCACTGAGCCAAACTGGCTAGGGCAATGTTAGCTCTTTTAGAAGCTTATTTCTAACTGTGGAAATGGCACTAAATCAGGGCTACAGTGTCTGTCTGTTTTTTTTTGTTTGTTTGTTTGTTTTTAATTGATTTTTTACAGAGAGGAAGGGAGAGAGATAGAGAGCCAGAAACATCGATGAGAGAAACATTGACCAGCTGCCTCTTGCACACCCCCTACTGGGGATGTGCCCGCAACCAACGTACATGCCCCTTACCGGAATTGAACCCTGGACCCTTCAATCCGCAGACCAACGCTCTACCACTGAGCCAAACCGGTTTCGGCCTCAGTGTCTTTCTTGCTGGAAGACCCCAGTTGGGTGAGTGCAGTGGTTCTTAAGCAGGGTGCATAGCATTGTCACTTGAGGATCCCCAAGCACAAGTGCTCAGCTGAACTCAGGAGGTTCTGATTCTGCAGGTCTGTAGTGGGCCTGTGCCTGAGTCCATCTTTCTTTTCCCTCCTTCTCTACCTCCTCTGCTCCTGACCACCACCCCCTCTCCATGGGTGTTGAATAACTTCTCCAGGGGCTTGGGCACATACCCTGGAGGAATCCCCAAAGTTAATACTCACTGTAGCCAAACTGGAAAACGTCCCTAAAACTTTCCCCTGTGATTTCTCCTATGTCTTTGAGTATATTTATCACACACAATGCCTGTTCTCTTCTCTCTAGAAGTCCGGCTTCCCCCATCATTCAAGGCCCATGTCAAGAGCGTCTCTTCCATGATGCTGGTACCCTCTGCTGCTGTCTGCTGGGCCTCCCATGCTCTTACCTGCAGGCTGCTAGAGAGCAGCGCTGTTTTCTTTCGGTCCCGCCTCAGCAGCCAAGAAGATGGCATTCAGCTTTACTTCCTGTAGTTCTTTTGGGGCACAGAGCACCTTTCCCTGCTTTGCAAATAAAAGTTACAGGATGATAAGGAATATGCTTTTGAAAACTACAAGCAGCCCCTACCTTGAGACTTGCTGAAGCCCTGACTTGCACAGCTGATTTTTCCTCTGGCTTTCTTAAAGAGGACTGTGGCCACAAGCTAGCTGAGAATGACTGGCTCCTGGGGGGTTCTCAATCAGGTCATGTGTGAGGATCACTCTGGGAGATTTTGGACAGTTTTTCCATGTTCCATCATAGACCTCCAAAGAAGAAAAAAAAAAAAGATTTTATTAAATACTATGCCCAGCCGAAACCGGTTTGGCTCATTGGATAGAGCTTCAGCCTGTGGACTGGAAGGTCCTAGGTTTGATTTCAGTCAAGGGCATGTACATTGGTTTCGGGCACATCCCCAGTGGGAGGTGTGCAGGAGTCACCTGATCGATGATTCTCATTGATGTTTCTAACTCTTTATCCCTCTCTCTTCCTCTCTGCAAAAAATCAATAAAATATATATTTTTAAAAATACTTTGCCCAGACTTGATTGCACACGTTTGAGTTGTGTGACAGAGTGCTTACTGTGTACTACTGTGTCCTGTCTCTCACTGTTTGAGCTGAGCCTTTTGTGCAGGACTTGGAGCAGTGCACTCCTTCTGGGTCCAAGGCCGCCTCCTGGTACTTGCAGAGCTGTTAGGCAGTGCCACACTGTGACCTGGAGTGAGCATCAAGCTCTCTGAGCTGCAGTTTGGGGGGAATGAGCTTTTCCCCCTTTGAAGAGCTGATAAGCACACCCAGGCTCTCTCACATCCTGCAATACACTGAGATCCATGTCTGGACTCAGAAATGGACCTCATTGTGAGAAGCACTGCTCTGTCTCCCTCATCACTTACCCTGACTGGGCAGCCCCCAACCTGGAGAAGGAACATGTGAGTTGCCTGGTTCTGCTTTCCTTTGAGCTCTTGGTTTGTCAGCCCGGTTGTCCCCTGGAGCAGCTGACGGGACTGCTTCTTGCCCGGAGCAGAAGTGAAACAAATCTTGGGGGCCATATTTTGTAAAGTTTCTGACATTCTTGGCTATAGCTTTCCTGACTTTGTTGTTCTAGAGTGGGGCCTCTCTCGCTCTTTTTCTTTGTTGGGTCCTTTCATCCATCATTCGGAATTTGAACTCGGAGTTTGCATTGGTTTCATTATATTCCTTCCTCAGTCCTTCATTCTCAGTTACGGGCGCAGTTTTGCTTGAGGGTTTATCACTACTCTTGAGTCATCTTGCCTTTTCGAGTTTCATACCTTCAGATGAATCTGTCTTTTCTCTGAATGACTTGAATCCATCTTCTCTAAGTTGTTCTCAGTGGAGGGGCCCGGCCGCAATGGCGCTGTGAGCTCGACCGCTGGGCTCCGCAAGGGCAGGCAGGACGACCTCACCGCCCCCCGGGTGCTTCTGTCCAGGGGCTAAGGCGGCTTCCGTTCGGTCCTCGCTGGGCATGTTTTCCAGGGCCCGTGAGGCGGGTTCTGCAGTGGGTGCCCGGAAAGGAGCGACTCGGCGTCTACAGGTTTCTGCCCTTCTTTTTTGTCCTGGGAGGAACGATGGAGCGGATCATGATTAAAGTGCGCGTGGGCCAGGAGACCTTCTATGATGTCTGCCGTAGAAAAGCCTCAGAAAGACAGTATCAGAAGGCTGGAAGAAGCATCGGAGACTGAACTTCAGCAGTCAATAAAGTGAATATGAAATTTTTCTAGTTTAAAAAAAAAAAAAAGTTGTTCTCAGTGGAGGTGTGATTGGCATTTTGGGTTGAATAGTTCTTATCTGCACTGCCATCTTGTGCAATGTATCCTGGCGGGGTAGTGCCAATGGTTCTCAGCAGCTGGGCTCTTCAGGACATTGGGCAATCAGGGTGGGGTGGTATCACAATGTCTGGCATCTAATGGGCAGGGCTGGGATGCTCAAGTGCTGAGTCCTGCTGGATGCTGGCACCACCCTCCCTGTTGAGAAACACTGTCCGAGGGGGCTGCCCGGTGTCCCCTGGAGATTAGGGGCGGGCTTGCTTGTTTGTTTGTCTCAGTTTCTTTCACTTCTGTCTTATAATTAGTACTTCCTTGTTGGTTAGAATTATGCAAAGGATGTTGCCTCTTCCGTCTTCGGTGAGGTTAACTTGAGAGCTGGGTCAGTTGGATTTTTCTGGTGGTTGCCTTTTGGGTTCCCTGAGCCTCCCAGGCCTGCCACCATGCATGCTGCCTTTTCTTGGTCAGGAGGTGTGTGACCCCCGACCCCCCCCCCCCCCCCCCCCCCGTATGACTCTGGTCTTTGTTCATGTGTCTCTTGCTATCAAAGCACCAGTGGGTGCTTTTCCTCACCCCCATGCACAGTGCTCACTTGTTCCTCTTGAACAAGTTGCAATTTTTCTTTTGTTGTTGTTTTCCTTTTTTTTTTTTTTTTAAAATATTGTAAGATTCAGTTTTTTCACTGCTATATTACAGTTGACCCTCATCTTGACATATTTTTGTAATTCTTTTGAAATTTTCATTCTTGTATTTATCACCCATACTTCATATTGTTAGTATATGGATTTCTGAAGCCATAAATATTGTAAAATGTATTTTGTCCCATGGATATTGAATATATTCTCCTGCTGTTTCTTCTTTGATTGTCTGATTTCAAAATTCTATCTGGAATTTTTTTCTGTCTGCATTTAAAAAAAATATATTTTATTGATTTTCTTACAGAGAGGAAGGGAGAGAGATAGAGAGCTAGAAAGATAGATGAGAGAGAAACATCAACCAGCTGCCTCTTGCACACCCCCTAGCGGGGATGTGCCCCAACCAATGTACATGCTCTTGACTGGAATCGAACCTGAAGCCTTTCAGTCCGCAGACCGACACTCAACCGCTGAGCCAAACCGGTTTCGGCTCTGTCTGCATTTTTGAGAGCTGGGTAGGAGGTGGCCCTTACAGACATGATATCTTTTGTCTCCAGCCAGGCATCTTAAATCTAACATCTTGAGCCAAATACCAGAAAATAAAAATTCATAGAGATCCCTTCCCATTCCCAAGCCCCAGCTTCCCAATCCGATCATTAGGAAGTGTTTGGCAAAGCATGACCATAAGCTTCTCAGGTTTCCTGATGCCTGCCCTCACACCCGCCCTCATGGAGCTGACATTCTGTTTGGAGAGGAGTGGGCCATGGTGGTCGTATGGGTGTGCAGGCTTTTCCCCTTCCTTAATCTGCCCAGCCTGCATAATTCCCAGGTGAGCATTTCTGCTGAGTCCCAGGCATTAGGAGGAGGACCAGTTAGCAGGTTGAGTGGTCTGTCAGGTTCCATGCTTTCCCTCCTGCAGGCTCAGGAAAAGGGCCAGCCCACCCCTTCCCCTACTGCAGCGGTCATAGCCTTTGCTGCTAGCATCTTCCCTCACTGAAGCTGCACATTGCTTAGAAATGGAATTCAATCTCTCAGTGGTAGTGGCTCTCGTCCCACTGTAGCTTGTTTAAAATCCCTGTTTCAAATTTCACCACCCTGCACTTGCTGGACCAGGATTTTCCAGGTTGGGGCCCAGACCTAGACGGTTGTAGTCGGTAGCTAAGGTTGACAAGCAGCAGGACCCTGTGGGAAGAAATTTGGGCTTGTTGTCTGCCCTGAAGTGTCATTGTGGCCCACCTGTCTCTTGCATGTTCGCTTGACATGCTGTCTTTCTCGGCCCATGCCATGCCAGGCTTCACACACCCTCCAACCGAGAGCCTGTAGCACTGGCTCAGTGCCCTTGTTTTGGGAATTGTGTCCCTAGGATGCCTTGTAAACTGTCAGCTGTGTGATCGGAATAGGGGCTAGAGATATCTTTTTGGATTCGATGTGGGGACTGATTCAGAGCCTCCATGCCATTGTGAGCCAGAGCACCAACACCTGGGGGGGGGGGGGGGGTGTCCATTCAGGTCTGGTGGGGCTTACCGGTTAGACCACCAAGGAAGGAAGCCAGACCAGTGAGTAGGCTGTCCTTCCAGTGCAGCAGCGGAGGCGGGGCTCAACTGGGTGGTGCTCCGGGGTTGCAGAAGGGAAGGCACTCAAAAGATGGAGAGGAGGTTGTTGTGCCATGGATGAATGGCCAGATGGGGGGTTGGGGGGCAGCACATTACTCCGGGTATCTGAGAATGGGGGACGTTGGGCCATAACATCTATTGGACGTTCACTTGAGTTATTGGGAAACCCGCGGGAAACGTCTGGTTGGTGCACAGTTGATAGATAATTCTAGACCAAACACATCTCAGGCAGGGCCTTGAAGTAGTCAGGGTGGTCATTCTTCCTGGATGAGGTGGTTTTGGCTGCGTTGACTGTGTAATAATAATCCCTTATATTTGCAAGGGGTTCTGTTGTTTACAACGTGGTTTCCCCTTCATTGTCTACAGCTCTGGGTCTTGCTATCCCTGTTTTGCAGCTGAGGAAACCGAGGCTCAGTGAAGGTTTTCTGTCCCCCTCCCATCCCAGACTGGATAGTTGTTCTCTTCGCTGTGTGCCCATGCTGAGGTGGAGTCCTGAAATCGCACTTACAGCGTTGGGTAGAAAACTTTGTGGGTATGTGTGTTCTCCTGGTCCCACTTTATTCATCTTTAAATCCCCGTCGTCTCACACGTAGTCAGTGCTTAATAGAGCTCGGTTAGAAGTCAGGTCTGCAGTGCCTTTCTTGTGTCCTTTTGTGTGGTGACAGCCCAGAGAGGAGGCCGTGCTTTCCTAGGAGCACGGTCACTTACCCTGTGGATCTGTGGGTTCACCAAGGTGGGGCTTGTCTTGGTCTGAGGCATGGGCTGAGGGGACCACCATGGCTCTGGGCCTCTTAACCAGACCAGGCATGATCTAGTCCACAGGGAAATTTTATCATTAGTGGTGTTGGCACCCGGTTTTTAATTTGAGGGAGTCAGAAGGGATCTTAATATGTGGTGCTTTCCTCTGTTTGACATCCATTTATGCTTTGTCAATCAACAGGAGCTTGAAGAAATCCGCAAATGTGGAATGAAAAACTTCCGTAACATCCAGGTTGATGAAGCTAATTTATTGACTTGGCAAGGGCTTATTGTTCCTGTGAGTATTGAACACTTCCCTTCTTATCAGATTATTCTCAAGGTGGTGTGTGTGCTGTTGGACTTGTCTCTCTAACTCCTAAGGAGACTTTTAGGATAGGCAACCAACAGAAGCACAGCGGCGGGTAACAAGGCAGGGACTATACTGTAGCCTTGGGTTCCTGAGTAGAATCCCAACTTTGCGCTGGTTTTGTAACATTCTGGGTGTCCCGAGCTTTCCAGGGCTGTTGTTAACCAACCCGGGAAAGAAGTGGAGTGTGCATGCTGTGCTCCTATCTTCCCTGCTTCTCTGGGCCTGACCCCATTTGGCCGGACAGCCACCTTCTCTGACGGGAGGTGGCGGGTATTCCCATCCGGATCTTCTCTTTGCTGTCCTGCCTGGGCTCTAATCCTCATCTGTGTCTCTGACCCTCCATACACTTGTGTTCCAGGTTTAACCCTCCGGTGTGAGCCTCCCATTAGTCTCAAATCCCTTTGCTTCATGGCCCACCTGTTCCCCTCACCCAGTATCTCTTAAAACAACCAGAAGTGAGGGCCCTGGATTGGTGTGGAGAGTTTCAAGGACGCAGTTGACAACTGATTCCCCCAGTGTCTGCCCCCATTGATTCCAGCTCCTGTTTCACTGCCTTCTGTCTTCAGACAGGCTCCGGCCTCCTCCTAAGAGCAGTTCTCCTGTGACCTTACTACTTCCTGTTTAGTGTCTGCTCTTTCTCCATCTTTTCATCTCCTTACCCCTCAAGAGACTTGTTCTGTACTAACTCCAGTTTGTGATCCCAGTTTCTCCCACCCTCCTGAAGCTGCTTCCCACCACGCACACGGCTCACACCTCTGGCTCTGCAGTCCCGGAGCTGTGTTCCCCACTTGCCTCCCTAGTGTGCCATTTGCTTCTGTCCTGTTGCTTCCTCTTAACTCTTAGACATGAATCTAATTTAGTGTCTCGCCTTTCTCTCATTGGGTTTTGTTTCTGGGGATCCCTGTTTCTTCCAGCATTGTTGGTTAGTAGGTTATTAATATAAGTGAAGAAGCCCAGCTCTGCCTCTATTCCTGCCTTCTCCCCAGAGCTCACCATCTGTCCACGAAGCAGCCTACGGTAACTTGGCATTGCCTGCTCCTAGTCTCCCTGTTCACAACTGAGACCTGTCAGTGTCCTCCCTTTCCTTCCTGATCTTCTGCATCCACCCACCTTCTCCTCTTCTCCACTGTCACCAGTTAAGCCTCAGGCTCTTTCCTTGTTGATCTACCCTACATTGTTGTATAAAATCTTTCTTTATGGACAGATTGGCTACTTTATTACCGCGGAACAAAAAGTATTCTTACTATAGATGCTTACTTCTTGATGCTGGTGCAGATTGTGACTTCTTTTAAAAGTCCCTGGAACTGCCGAAACCGGTTTGGCTCAGTGGATAGAGTGGCGGCCTGTGAACTGGAAGGTCCTGGGTTCGATTCTGGTCAAGGCATGTACATTGGTTGTGGGCACATCCATAGTGGGAGGTGTGCAGGAGGCAGCTGGTCGATGTTTCTAACTCTCTATCCCTTTCCTTTCCTCTCTGTAAAAAATAAATAAAATAAAAATAAATAAATAAATAAGCCGAAACCGGTTTGGCTCGGTGGATAGAGCTTCAGCCTTCGGACTGAAGGGTCCCGGGTTCGATTCCGGTCAGGGGCCTGTACCTGGGTTGCAGGCGCATCCCCAGTGGGAGGTGTGCAGGAGGCAGCTGACCGATGATTCTCATCGATGTTTCTAGCTCTCTATACCTCTCCTTTCCTCTCTGTAAAAAAATAAATAAAATATATTTATAAAAAAATAATAATAAAAAATAAAAGTCCCTGGAACTTGAATGGCAAATATTGGATTTGTAATTTATTTTCATAATCATTTGGGTAAATAAGGAAATATATACATTGTAATCTTCTAGTACACATTCAGAAATTTTAAATCTGGGAGATTCCACTCTGGTTGGAAGGATGGAGTCTTTTTTTTTTTTTTTTTTTTAAATATATTTTTATTGATTTTTTACAGAGAGGAAGGGAGAGAGATAGAGTTAGAAACATCGATGAGAGAGAGTCATAGATCAGCTGCCTCTTGCACACCCCCCACCGGGGATGTGCCCTCAACCAAGGTACATGCCCTTGACCGGAATCGAACCCGGGACCCTTGAGTCCGAAGGCCTACGCTCTGTCCACTGAGCCAAACCGGTTTCGGCGGAAGGATGGAGTCTTAAATTTCTTCAGGGTTGGAGGTGATGGGGCTCAGGGTACAGGTTATGGATAGCAGAGAAGCTCCTGACGGGATGGTCAGCTGGTAACCACAGCACTTCCCTGCCATGGGGACCTGATAAATGCTGAGTGGAAGGATAGCCAGGACCGTCTGACTACCTACTAATTTAAGAAGTAAACAGGTAGCCTGGATCATTTGAAAACTGATAAGAATGAATGGGATGCCATTGAGCAGTCAAGCTTAGACAGTCTACCCTGTGAGCTCCGTGGCCTGGAAGACAAGGATAGCTCCAAGAGTAGATGGTTGTCAGGCCGACTCTGACCCCAGTGTACACCAAAGCCTTCCTCTGGTGTCATGTTAGCAGAGCCTGTGGGATGGGCTAGAGTCTCATTAAGCATACGGTAGTGACTGGCTGGTAGAATCCCAGTGTGCTTGAGCCAAGGCTCTTGAGGAGTGTCCAGGCCAAGCCTCGCTTTCCCTTTAGGGAAGCTGTGCCCAGAGATAGTGGACGGTGGCCAGGCTGTCCTCACCCCTGCTCATGCTGCCTCTTTCCCTTCCCCTCTCACTTCTGAAATCATTGCCAGGGTCCCCACTAGTACTTCATACCTGGGCTCAGATCTTCCTACGTGGTAGGGGCTGGGTCAGTATGGGGAGTCTTCTACCAAACTCACCTGGGGTCTATCCAGTTGGGATGAAAGGGCCAGGCTGATGAAGGCATGGTACCTTAGAAGTATCCTGGGCATGTGCCCTTGACCGGATTCAAACCCGGGACACTTTGCTCTATCCACTGAGCCAAACCGGTTTTGGCATCTCTCAGCTTTTTTATGTGCATTCTTTAATGGGCCATTAGATAATTTCATACTTTTAAAAATAACTATATCATATCCCATAATATTTGTATGATCATTTATTCATTATTTTCTTATTGGCCATTTAGATTATTAATGTATTTTCTTTTTCTTATTGTTTTTACTTTTTAAAATATATTTTTATTGATTACAGAGAGTAAGGGAAAGAGAGAGAGAGAGATAGAAACATCAATGATGGGAGAGAATCATTGATCAGCTGTCTCCTGCACACCCCCCACTAGGGATTGAGCCTACAACCTGGGTATCTGCCCTTGACCAGAATCGAACCCAGGACCCTTCAGACCACAGGCTGACGTTCAATCCACTGAGTCAAACCGGCTAGGGCATGTTTTTTTCCATTTTAAAACTAATGTGTCCAAGAACATCTTTATGTGGAAAACTCGGTGTATCTTTTTTTCTTTTAGATTCTGATCTTAAGAATTATATGATATTCTATAGTCTGTATTTTATTAAGGTTAGGTTTATATATAAGGAAAGGACCATTGTAGGGCTGTACAGTTCCTGATTTAAGATTACCACTGAGCCATACCAGTCTGGATAAGATTACAATTTTTTCCAACTTCACAATAGTACAAAAGCAACATGCATGAAGTAGAAATGGAGGCAAAGGTGGGATGTTCTGTAGGTTAAACGCATTTTCGGTTTACAGTATTTTCAACTTGTGATGGTTTATTAAGATAGTACATGCCCTGGCTGGTTTGGCTCAGTGGACAGAGCGTCGGTCTGCGGACTGAAAGGTCCCAGGTTCGATTCCGGTCAAGGGCATGTACATTGGCTGCGGGCATATATCCCCGTAGGGGGTGTGCAGGAGGCAGCTGGTCAATGTTTCTCTCTCATCGACGTTTCTAGCTCTCTATCCCTCTCCCTTCCTCTCTGTGGAAAATCAATAAAATATATATTTTTTTAAAAGGTAGTACATGCCCTGGCTGGTTTGGCTCAGTAGATAGAGCATTGGCCTATGGACTGAAAGGTCCTGGGTTCAGTTCTGGTCAAGGGCACATGCCCAGGTTGCAGGTTCGATCCCTAGTAGGGAGTGTGCAAGAGGCAGCCGATCAATGTCTCTCTCTCATCATTGGTGTTTCTTTCTCTTTCTCCCTCTCCATTCATTTCTGAAATATATATATATATATGAAAAAAAGTTAACACATGGTTCTCGCTCATCATTGATGTTTCTATCTATCCTTCTCCCTCTCTGAAATCAATTAAAAAAATTTTTTTTTTTTTTTAAAAGGTGCTGAAACCAGTTTGGCTCTGTGGTAGAGCATTGGTCTGCAGACTAAAAGGTCCCAGGTTTGATTCCAGTCAGGGGCATGTACATTGGTTGAGGGCACATCCCCGGTAGGGGGTGTACAAGAGGCAGCTGGTCGATGTTTCTCTCTCATTGACGTTTCTAGCTCTCTATCTCTCTCCCTTCCTCTCTGTAAAAAAATCAATAAAATATATTTAAAAAAAAAAAGAAGAAGAGGGTAACCCACTATAAGTTGAGGAGCACCTGTATATATTATCAACTTATTTTCCAGAAAGACTGCCAATTTATATTCCTATGGGCACTGTCTGCACAAGTTCCTATATGTATCCTTGGCTGTCATGGAAGTTGTTAGGCATTTTTTAAAAAAATATATGTTTTTATTGCCCTAGCCAGTTCTGCTCAGTGGATAGAGTGTCAGCCTGAAGGGTCCTGGGTTCGATCCCGGTCAAGGGCACATGCCCAGGTCGCAGGCTTGTTCCCCAGTGAGGGGCGTGCAGGAGGTGGCCGATCAAGAATTCTCTCTCATCGATGTTTCTCTCTGCCTTCCTTCTGAATATATAATTTCAGAAGAGGGAGGAAGGGAGGGAAGGAAGAAGAAGAGAGAGACAGAGACAGAGAGAAACATTGATGAGAGAGAAGCCTGCAATCTAGGCATATTCCTTGACCAGTGACCACCTGGTTCATGGATCGACGCTATACTGGCTAGGCAAAACTGCTGGGTATTTTTAAAGGGGGTTCTGAGTGTCACTGACTTCATCTTCTAGGCCGTGGGGTCCAGTTGACCCAGGTGAGACTCCATCCCTGCCCCTGGCTGGCTTGGTGATCTTGGACTAGTTATGTAGTTTGTCCTAATACCCTTACTTCTAGTTGTTTTAAAAGTTCAATAAGTGCATGTGTGTGAAGTGCCTAGCCTCACTCTTATTATTGAAACCCGTCCTGTTCTCTGGAAAACTGTCAGGATGAAACAGACACACGGAAAGAAATTGTTGCCATTTTGATGCAAAAGTTCTCCATTTGATTTGTGTCTTAGTCCCATTCAGGCTGCTATATTACAAAATACCAGACTGGTTACCAAACAGCAGATATGTATTTCTCAGTTTTCTGGAGCCCGGAAGTCTTGAGTCAGGGCACAGTCATATGAGGCTCTCTTTTGGTCAGACTTGTGTCCTGGCTCTCTGTGGCACCAATCCCATTCATGAGGCTCCGTCTTAATGACTTAGTCACCACCCAAAGGCCCCCACTTCCTAATGCCATCACCTCGGTCATTAGGTTTTAACATATAATTTTGCGGGAGGGGGCAGGCACACAGACATTCAGACCATAGTAATTTCCACTTTTTAAATTTTACTATTACAATTAAAGTTTCTTTTTACTTATTTATTGACTTTATATTTCTGCAGTCTGTTATCTATTAGGTTTCTACAGTGTGTTTGTTGAGTTGTAAGAATTCTGAATTAATCTCGTGTCTGGGACAAATATTTTTCAGCTTATTGTATATTTTTTAAAATTTTTGTTTATTCAAAAATTTCTAATTGAAAGGTTTATCTTAAAATTTTTGTTCATTAATCCTCACATGATATATATATTTTAAAATATATATAAAAATCAATTTTAAAATATATATAAAAAATCAAATATATATAAAAATATATTGTAAAAAATCAATAACATATATATATTTTAAAATATATATATTATTGATTTTTTACAGAGAGTAAGGGAGAGGGATAGAGAGTTAGAAACATCGATCTGCCTCCTGCACACCCGCTACTGGGGATGTACCTGCAACCAAGGTACATGCCCTTGACCGGAATTGAACCTGGGACCCTTCAGTCAACAGGCCGACTCTCTATCCACTGAGCCAAACCTGTTAGGGCGAGGATATTTTTTTCATTGCTTTTTAGAGAGGGTCAAAGGGAAGGGGGCAGAGAGAAACACATTGATTCGAGAAAGACACATCAATTGGTTGCCTCCTAAATGTGCCCCAATGGGCACTGAGAATCGAACCAGCAACCTGGGCATGTGCTTTGACCAGGAATTGAACCATGATTTCCTGGTTCACACATAGGTCAAGACTCAACACCAGCCAGGCCTGTATGTAGCTTCTTAACATATTTTCAAGGTTCATCCATATTGTAGCACATATCAATACTCCATTCCTTTTTATTACCAAGTAATATGCCATTGTAATGTATATATCATAGTTTTCTTATTCACTCACCAGTTGATGGGTATTTGGATTGTTCCCACTTTTTGGATATTATGAATAATGCTTCTGTTAACATTCGTGTACACACTTTTATGTGGACATATGTTTTCATTTCTTTTGGGTAATTTACTGGGTCACATGGTGGGGTTGCTGGGTCATATAGTAACCTTATGTTTATTCATTTGAGAAATTGTTAGACTCTTCTTAGGTCATACTGCCTTGTGGCCTTTGTTCACAAAGCCTGTGCCTGGCTTGTTAAAGCTCAGTAGCCTCCACCAACATGCAGGCAGTGGGACCTAAGAAGAGGGGAACATCTCCATTGCAGACTGAAAGACAGTGGATAGCAGCGTGAGAAAGTTATAAAAAATATGGACAGTATGAGTTGAGTTTTATAACTCCACTAGAGGCCCAGTGCATGACATTTGTGCATAGGTACAGTCCCTACGCCTGGCCTGCAATCAGGGCCATCATCCCCAGCTGCTGGCAGCCGGCCCCGCTCCCCACCACCACTCACCACTCAGAGAGTTCCCCATTCGCTATCGGGCAATCGAAACCTGCCAGCAGAGGGGGAGGAACTAGAGGTTTGGCCATTCCCCCTGTGAGTGGGGTGACTGGCAGCCACCCATGTCTGCTGTCACCCACCCCCAGGTCCCCATTCCCCATTGGGCGATTGAGGCCTGTAGGCTGGGGGCAGCTCTTCTGTTTAGCGTCTGCCCCCTGGTCAGTGCGCGTCATAGCGACCAGTTGTTCATTGGTTCAGTAGATTTGCATATTACCCTTTTATTATATAGGATATGAGTAATATATAGATATCTAGAATGAAAAGCCTCTGTGTGTACTGTTAACGCATAGAAAACATACCATGGCCATGTAGCAGGTGGCTAACAGTCATTATCCTGGGCAGTGGAAGGTTTAACCTGTTAACTGAGCAGGACCTATAAATACGTCAAACAAAAACAATATCAGGAATGGGTAGTATGAATATGTCCTTGAAATATATGTTGCGCCCCGAGAGGGACGGTATATATTTTTTGTAATCTTTTTTTTTTTCTTTCTTTAATATTTTATTGATTTTTTACAGAGAGGAAGGAAAGGGGAAGGATAGAGAGTTAGAAATATCGATGAGATGATAGAGAAACATCGATCAGTTGCCTCTGGGGATGTGCCGGCAACCAAGGTATATGCCCTTGACCGGTATCGAACCATAGACCTTTAGGTCCGAAGGCCGACGCTCTATCCACTGAGCCAAACCGGTTTCGGCTATTTTTTTAAATCTTTATCATTGTTTGTAAAATTTATAATTTTTTAATTCAACGTGTCCATTTTTTTTTTGTCGGTATTTTCTATTTTTTTTGTAATTTTGTATTTTCCTTTGTGCTTTATATATATAAACGAAAAAATATATATATATATATATTTCATTTATTTTCATTAAGTATAAATAAATAAAAATAATGTGAAATTACGTCCTCCGGGCGTGATGTACTGACATGTCCTAGTGAAAGAGTACGCGCCTGTTACAGGTTGCGTAATTAAAAAGGGAACTCCCCGGTTAACAGGTTAATACTACTTTTTTGGTGTAGATGGTATATTTCTATGAAAAATAACAATAAGGCTGCCAAATCTGGTTTGGCTCAGTGGATAGAGCACGGGTCTGCGGACTGAAGGGTCCTGGGTTCGATTCCGGTCAAAGGCATGTACCTTTGTTGCGGGAACATCCCCAGTAGGGGTGTGCAGGAGGCGGCTGATGGATGTTTCTCTCTCATCAATGTTTCTAACTCTCTATCCTTCTCCCTTCCTCTCTATAAAAAAATATATTTAAAAACAAACAAACAATAAGGCTACTTTTATTCTTAAGGGGAAAGTGAATTAAGCTGAGAGAGGTAAAGCTCCTTGTTGAATTCAATTCATGGAGATTGTGATTTTAAATTTAGATATAATTCAGAGAGTAGTCATAAAAGATTGGTAAACCAGTTCTGGAAATACTTATTCCCACTAATATTTCTTTTCAAAGGGAATATGATGGAATTCCTTAATGTTAAAAATTTATTGACTGTGCTATGAAAAGTCCTATAAAGCAAATTGTTGAAAACAGTACAGAGAGCCCAGCCGATGTGCTCAATGGTTAGCTCGACATGTACCAGGAAGGCGGTCACGGTTCAATCCCTAGTGGGCAGCATGTAAGAGGCAGCCAATCGATGATTCTCTCATCATTGATGTTTCTATCTCTCCCCCCCTCCCTTCCTCTATGAAATAAATAAAAATATATTTTAAAAAATAAAATATGGCCAAAACTGGTTTGGCTCAGTGGATAGAGCATCGGCCTGTGGACTGAAGGGTACCAGGTTCGATTCCGGTCAAGGGCATGTACCTTGGTTGCAGGCACATCCCCAGTGGGGGGTGTGCAGGAGGTGGCTGATCAATGTTTCTCATCGATATTTTTTTTACTCTCTGTTCCTCTCTCTTCCTCTCTGTAAAAAAATCAATAAAATATATTTAAAAATAAAATAAAATATGCAGTCTAGGTGATAATGATCAGTGGTAAGAAATATACCATATTATTGCAAGATGTTGATAGTGGGGAGAGCTCTGTGCGTGTAGGCCAGGGCAGTTTTGCTTGCTGTGAAACTAAAGTGACTCTACATAAAGTCTATTTAAAGAAAATAAGCCAGAATGTCAATCTCAGGCCTCTTCACAGCTTAGCAGACATCTTACTCTGGAAATACTGATTTATTAATGGTTTCCCCAAAGATGGTTAAAGTTTCAGTTGATATGCCACTTGAAATAAATTAATTTTCAAGTTAACGGAACATTCCTGTCCCAGCTGCAGATTTGTTTACTATGGTGTGTTCACCTCGACTCTTTCTCTGCAGGACAACCCTCCATATGATAAGGGGGCCTTCAGAATCGAAATCAACTTTCCAGCAGAATACCCATTCAAACCACCGAAGATCACATTTAAAACAAAGATCTATCACCCCAACATCGATGAAAAGGGACAGGTCTGTCTGCCAGTAATTAGTGCTGAAAACTGGAAGCCAGCAACGAAAACCGACCAAGGTAAAGCATGCTCCTGTCTTCTGAGGTGCTCTCCGGGGCTGCTGCTGGGACGGGCTCTGCTGTGCCTTCTCATGCGTTTCACACACAGTCCGGACAAACCTTACCAACTCCGGTGCACACCGTGCAAGGAGCTCCCACCAGTCCTGTGAGCATGGCACGTCGTGGTCACAAGGTTGACCTGCAGTTTGTGGCAGGTGTTTGAGGAGGCCCTTCGTGTGCTTGCAGCCCAGTGAGGACACATGTGGACAGCCCAGCCCAGTACTTGGTGCCAGTGCAGTGAGGGATGTAGGCGCTGTTCCTGGGAGTTTTCATGGATTACGGGGCTGCTGGGGTGTGTGTGTGTGTGTGTGTGTGTGTGTCTGGGTGGGGTGTGTGTGTTTAAAGTGGCTTCACACAGCAGTTAGCAAGTGCACTCAGACATGAAGGAAGACGGGCGGACTGAAGGAAGGGAAGAAGCTAAAACCACCTGGTGGGCAGCAGCAGAAAGCCAGTGGCTCAGAGTGGTTGGGGTGTGGGTGGTGGGTAGTTAGATTGAAGACTGTGTGCCCAAATGTGAAAGCACATTGTTGGCTTTAGCAGGCTGGAACTCACTGGAATTGGATGTGGCCGTTTGTGTCCATGTGTCTGTAAGCATACATACCCAGGGGAGCGGGAGAATACTTAATTCATTGTTACTGTTGGCCTCCCTCTTGTCCCCTTGCAGTTATAAGTAACCAGCCAATCACTATAAGGTCTTTTTAGATTAAAGAGAGTACATAAGGCTGGCATTTTCTAGGCTGCAGGTAGTTTTTCAGCGAATGATATGTAAATAGTCACTTTTCAGTAGAAAGCCTGAAAGATGGAGTTGAAAGCCTTTCATGTGGGAAGTTCAGCCTCAGACTCAACACAGCTGAGTAGTAGAAAGGAGCAGTACTAAATGCTGAGTCAGAATAGAAAGATCTCCAGTGGATTTGGCATTTGGTCATTCTGATGTTTTTAAGGCTTGACAAAAGTTATTTTTTTTAAAAAACTATTTTAGAGAGAGAAACTTCGATTTGTTGTTCCACTTATTTATGCATTTATTGCAGGTTTGATCTTGGCCCTGATCAGGAGGCGGGGTGTGTGGGAGGCAGCCAGTCATTGTGTCTCTCTCACATCACCCTTTTTCTCTTTCCCTTTCATTTTCCCTTTCTCTCTCTCACTCTTCCCTCCCCCCTCTCCCACTCTTCCTCTCTCTCTCTCCTCCTCCTTCCCGCCCTTTCCCCTCCATTCCACTCTAAAAATCAATGGATGAGATTTAACAAAACAAAAAAATTTGTATGGAGAAAATTAAAGCAATTTAAGATGAAAGTTTCAACCCCCATACACTATTATAACAAATCCAGTAGATAAAATTATAAAAAGGACTCAAGGAATATAACAATATACAATAAATAGTGTTAACATTCTCTATTATAAGAAAACTGTTGTAAGAACAAAAAAGAGATTTCATAGGCTTTATTCTCTGGTCATATATAGGATGGGGCAAAAGTAGGTTTATAGTTCATATGGAAAATTAAATATAGTAACTAATACATAATAATACAAGAATAAATTTTTGTGTACTCAACTATAAATCTACTCTTGCCCTACCGTCTACAATGAGAGACCAGGAGGTAATTTTTTTTTTTTTTAATGTATATTCAGGAAGATAGTGTGGTGCCCCTTATGTAAGTTTAGGGACATTTGAGAAATCAAGAGAGGATAGCTGTTATTAAACCAGATAAAGTACATGCATTTGCTGAATGGCCTTCATTAAAGTACCAACCAATAAATAAGCTGTATTTTAAATCGGTATTTTCCCCAGTTTAAACATTCAAAGAGCTTTTATAGGAGGTAAATTTTGATTGTTTTTAAAGTCTTTCTTTTGCAAGAAAAAAAGTGCTTTCTGGGGAGCACCTGGCTCAAGAAAGAGATCAAGAAACCAGAGCCAGACGTTTATAAAATAAAGTGAGCCTGCAGTTCTACGTAGAAAAAATGATGGGATGGGGCCATAGTTGTAGTTTGACGAGTAGTCTTAGATATCAATGTTCTCACTATCAAAACAAGCAAAGCTAAACTGGGTTTTACTATAGTTTAGCTGAGGAGCCAGAAATGCACCCAGAGGAACAGAGAAAGAATGAAATACCCATCAGAACTTTCAGCTGCTAGTGGTCTGACAGGGTGGTCCAGCGAACCTTGCTCAGCTGGTTTAGAAGCTCTTTGGGATCTGACAGGCTGGGCTCATTAAGCATCACATGGTGCAGCCTGTCTTGCACCCTTCATTCTCATACTCATTGAAACCACCCTGAATTGAGTGCGGTTCTGAAACACATCACCCAGTCTCTGCCCTGGCGAAGCTTCACACATGAGAAAGCAAGTGAGCGAGCCAGGCCTGTTATCTCCAGACTTTGGGGGAAGGATGTGAGTGAGTAGGGGCTGGGTGTCAGTTCAGAGGAAGAGGCAGCAGCGGCATCACTGAACAGTTATCCACTTTGACTGCTGTCCATCCCTTTATCCTCATTACAGAGGAAAGTTAAGTGTTCGAGGTTAGAATTTTGGATGAATCAGGCCGCTTTGTTGATATAAATCAGTGTTAGAGTCAGAGGTGTGTAGCTTGCCTGAGCCTTTCTGAGACTATTGTAACCAGCAATGCCTTCTCCCTTTCTTGGCAGTAATCCAGTCTCTCATAGCACTGGTGAATGACCCCCAGCCTGAGCACCCGCTTCGGGCTGACCTAGCTGAAGAATACTCTAAGGACCGTAAAAAATTCTGTAAGAATGCGGAAGAGTTTACAAAGAAATATGGGGAAAAGCGACCTGTGGACTAAAATCTGCCACGATTGATTCCAGCAAATGTGAGCAGAGACCCCGAGCAGTTCATCAGACACCCCGCAAAGCAGGACTCTGTGGAAATTGACGCGGGCCACCACCTGGCGTTTGCTTGTGGCAGTTACTAACTTTCTACAGTTTTCTTAATCAAAAGTGGTCTTAGGTAACCTGTAAAGAAAGGATTAAAAATTTAAGATGTTCTAGTTCTGCTTTCTTTGTTTTAAAAATCACTGCTTCAGTCTACCCTAAAAGGAATGGTGTTTCTTTTCTTGTCCAAATTTACCCAACATCTTCAATTTACAGTTAGACCTTAAGGTTTAAAATAAAAGGTTTTGGTTCCCTTTCTCCCCATGCCCTTCCCATGCCACTCTCTTGCATTCAGTTTCTTTTTCATTCATTCACTTTCCCAGAACCAGGCCCCACCTTCTCCACAAAGGAGAAGAGGCAGCCCTGTCCGGTCTGGTGGCTTCTCTTCTCCCGTGTTGCAATGCGTGTGGGAGTTCATTCAAGTTCTCCTGCTTCCAATTTATAACATACTTAAAAAATTTTTTTAAACAAGCAAACCACCCCTTTCCTCCCCCCCTCCCCCCCCCAAAAAAAGAAATAACTATGAAAAGGAGGCCCACCTCTTATGTAAAAATCTTGCCAATGTTACCACAATAACACTGATTAAATGGCAACCCTGATCTCTGTGTGTGTGACTGAACACTAGCCTGGCCCGGCCTGCTTGGAGGACCCTGCAATATCAGGTCTGTGGCCACCCAAGGAGGGCCTGCCAGCCAGAGGACACTGCACTTGTGTGAGGAATTTCGCTTCAGAGAGGCTCCTGAGGTCAAAGGTTTACGTTCCTCCTTGCAGCCATTTTAGAAGATGTGCTGGCCATTGCAGACAACGCTAAAGCCAGAATGTCCATTTGAAATTCCACGCTCACCCGTCAGCAAGCTCCATCCGAACGTGCCACGGAGCCCAACCTCCACCTCCTCAGTGCAGCAGCCCCACCTCAGCCCTCCTCCAGCACAGTTTGGCCCTTTGCAGGGTTGGAATTGGCAGGACTCGGCTAGAGCCAGAACCAGGCTGGGGTCACCGATGCCCTGCTGGCCTCTTCCTTTGGAGCAGCTGGCCGGGCCCGCCCAGGAACAAGACGGCCTTCCCCTCCTCTGGACTCACAGCCTGTGCAGAGTCAAGCTCCGCTTGAAGCTCACCGAGTAATGTCCTCTACATGTGTTTTATATTGTTTTGATTGCCTTTTTTTGTAGAAATAAAAATTGACCTTAGAATTTATCCTCAGATGAACTTGTAAGGATTTGAATGTTAATGTCTTTTTCAGAGCAAGTGGGACTGTCCCTGAAATAGTAGAGAAAGCATTGTCCCTGACACCTGGAGGAAGCCGATGGCCCAGATGCCATGCGCCACCAACTCCGCCGCGGCCACCGGCAGCTTCCCCTCCTGGCTCTCTGGGGCATTAGATTGTGTGGAGGAATGACTTAAAGAAACTTGGCTCAGTTTAGTTTTAAAACTTGAGATCCTTCCAGGGCTATGACCTCTAATACAGCTTGGTTTTACTGCACAGAACCAGGAGTGACGTGCAGGTTAACGTCATTTAATTGTCCAGGTGCTTGGTCCCTGCAGTGTGTCACTGATTCAGCTGCTTTAGTCCAACATACGCAAGGGGCAGGCTCTAGAGACTCCTGCCTGCTCAGGTGAGCTGGGCCAGCATTTGCACATCTGTCACTTGGCAGAGAGGTGATGATGGACTTTATGTCTCTGACACACACATTTGTAATAAAATGCCAAAATCTGTCAGAAGCTATATCCAAGTAAGCCACCATCCTTGCTTCTCTGAATCCAAAATTATTGCCATTCTGGAAACCATCCCGTTGCTTCGTGTTTCTACCAGCATAGTTCTGCCTGCCTGTCGTCCTTCACTTCTCTGTTCACCACAGGAGGTACCTTTTGGCAATGCCGGCAGCACCTCAGGGGACTCTTAGCCCTGGCATTGCACCCCGTGATTTGTCCAGAGGCCTGGCCCTGGGAAGTGAGGCCATGAGGGGTCTTTCCCTCACCCCTGGGTGGCTTGCTCCATCCAGCCTGCAGCAGTTCCGGGTGGTAGCTGAGCCCTCAGAGCAGGCTTTGAGCAGCTCTGAAATCAAACAAGCTGGGTCCTCTGGGGGAGGGGAGAGCTGTCACCCACTGACGCAAGCCCACTCAGGAATTCACGCCCACCTGAACTGAACCAAAGTGGGCCAGGTCCTCCCCCTCCTCCCTGCCCCTGCCCACCATGGCAGAGAATAGGCTTTCTAAAGATGCTGCGATCCCGTTCTGCTGACCTTAATAAAAATGTTCTCCAACACTGGTTTGGCTGTGTGTGTTTCCTCCTCACTGTGGTGGGCTGCCCTCCCGGAGGTGTGGGAGGGATGGCTGATGCCAGGTCCTAGGGCCTCTGTGGTCTGCAGCTTTTGCCTGCTCCTACCCTCCCATGACTCAGCCTCCAAAAGGAACAGAAAAAGCCAGAGTCCAGATTATTGGGTCTCCCTTGGCTGTCTGGGGAGCAGACAGCACCTCTACGTATTAAATGTATCACTTCAGCCGAGACCGGTTTGGCTCAATGGATAGAGCGTCAGCTTGGGGACTGAAGGGACCCAGGTTCGATTCCGGTCAAGGGCATGTACCTTGGTTGCGGGCATATCCCCAGTAGGGGGTGTGCAAGAGGCGGCTGATCGATGACTCTCTCTCATCGATGTTTCTAGCTCTCTATCTTTCTTCCTCTCTGTACAAAATCAATAAAATATATTTAAAAATAAATAAATAAATAAATAAATGTATCACTTCAGTCTGATCAGTCCCTAAAGAGTGATACCCACATTCAGCAGAAAAGCAAACTGGCTATCTTTTTATTTTTTTAAATTGATTTCAGAGAGAAAGGGAGCAGGAGAGAGAGAGAGAGAAACATCAATGATGAGAATGTGCCCTTAACTGGAATCGAACCTGGGACCCCTCAATCCGCAGGCCAATGCTCTATCCACTGAGCCAAAGCAGTCAGAGCCAACTGGGTATCTTTTGTTGTTAATCCTCACATGCGGATCTTTATCCCCCACTGATTTTTTTTTATTGATTTTTTTACAGAGGAAGAGAGAGGGATAGAGAGTTAGAAACATCGATGAGAGAGAGTCATCGATTAGCTGCCTCTTGCACGCACACCCCCTACTGGGGATGTGCCCGCAACCAAGGTACATGCCCTTGACCGGAATCGAACCCGGGACCTTTCAGTCTGCAGGCCGGCACTCTATCCACTGACCAAACCGGTTCCAGCCTCCCACATCTTTCTATTAGTAAGAAAATGTTTCCGGCAAAGCACCTCAGGGCCCCGCCCTACAGGGCAGCCACCTGACCCAGTAGAAGGCAAAGTATGAGTTGATCCGAGTTCTTCCCGCCCCAGCACAGAACTGGCTTCCCTCTTCCCCTCCACCAACTGGAGGACTGGAGCTAAAATTGGGACTTCAGCCTAGTGCCTGGGCCAAGCAGTACTTGTTAATGGCTAATCTGGGTGATTAGAAATGTTTTTTGGAAAACTTTTTTTTTTAAAGTAATCTCTGTAGTCTTTTTTTTAAATTGATTTCAGAGAGGAAGGGATAGATAGAAACATCAATGAGAATCATTGATCAGCTGCCGCCAGCACGCCCCCCACTGGAGATCGAGCCCACGACCTGTGCATGTGCCCTGACCAGGAATCAAATCATGATCTGGTTCAGAGGTCACAACCACTGAGCCACATGAGCTGGGTGAAAATATCTATTGATTTCAGAAAGAGAGAGAAGCATTAATAATGAGAAAGAATTCTTTAAAAAAAAATTTCCCCCAAAATATATTTTTATTGATTTCAGAGAGGGAGAGAGAGAGAGAAATATCAATGATGAGAGAATCATTCAGACTGCCTCCTGAATCGAGAGGGGATAGAGCCCACAATGGGGGGGGGGGGGGTCGCGGCATGTGGCTGACCTGGAATAGAATTGTGACCTGGTTCATAGTTTGATGCTCAACCACTGAGCCACGCTGGTCGTGCAGGTGACTTCTTTCTCAATAAAAATGGAGATAGATAATGTACCTCCTAAAAAAGTATCCAGGGGAGACATTCTCCTCTCACACCTCCCAAAAGCTAAGCATGAACAAAGTGAGAGTGGAGCTTGTTTTCTATGTCTTTTCTGGAAGTGACTGGGTTTGGGCCCTGGAGTTGCCTTTGTCTGCCCCTGTGTCTGTAAAGGTTTCCTGGGCACAGTTTATAAATTGAAGTTGACAAGACACATTATTTTATTAATATAGTGATCTCTCCCCACCACACCTACACAAAGACGATGCTTACGTAGAAACGTGAAGAGCACAAAATGTCTGGCAGGCCCCATGCTGCGTATCACACTGACTGACCCACCGCAGCCAACAGGGCTGCCAAAGCTCTGGCTGTCACTCTTGAGTCATGAGGACCTGGGCAAAGAGGTGGCATCGTTCTGCCAGCGAAGTCACAGAACCCCGGCTAGGGTTTGGTTGTGGGCTGTGCCAAAGCTCAACCCTTGGCGCATTCCTGAGCACTAAGGCCTTAGTCCTTGGCTGTCAGGGTCATGGGTGGGCAGGCTCCAGAAGGTTTGTCCAGTGGCTTCACCCGGTCTCTAGGTCCTGGAGGGCACAGAGCTGCACGCCATCCTGGGCAAGCCGGGCCTGCAGCGTCGGCTCCTTGAGGACACGCAGCTCGTGAAGCCGTTCCCAAGAGCAGGAAAAGGCGTCAGGGCCCTCCCCGCAGCCTCCGGCGGGAGGCACGCTGGGGTAGCCGGGGTGGGCCATCAGCTCCGCCGTCAGGGAGTGACCCGTGGGTGTGCCTTCCAGGGCCCGAGCCAGGGCTCCCGACACACGGTGAGCAGACATGTGCCGGCCACAGGTGCTCAGACCCACGAAGGCATCCGTCCACCTGTGGATACCCAGGCATCAGGGCAGGGACGGGCAGGACCGTGATGGGCAGGGCTAGGCCAAGGGCAGATGAGAAACGTACTCAGCTGGCTAACTGAACAGCCAGCTGGACCCACTGGGACCTGAGCCAGGTAGGGAATATGGCACAGTGATTGGGGGTGGTGGTGGTGGGCTCACCTTAGGCCACTACGGGAGAAGGGGCCCACAGCAGCCCGGGCATCACACTCCACGGCACACGCGAAGGCGCGCGCAGGGGCCTCGAGCCAAGTACAGTCTCCCAGGCCCCGCTCCAGCGGCAGACGCGTGAAGCGCACCCCGTGGGCCTGCAGCACCTCTGCGAACACCTGGCACACGCCTGCGGGCGGGCGGCCGAAACGCTGTCAGGGGGAGCACCTCTCCCCACCTGGGAGCACCGACCCTGGGGCACCTCTCCCCGCACCTGGGCACAACACCGCCCCCCGCCCGGGACCACCAACCTGGGAGCACGTGCACATGCTGGTGCCCGTCCACGTGCGTGGGTTTCCTGCCCAGTAGCTCCTGGAAGCGACCCAGCTGGGCCTCCAGCTCCTCCCGCACCTGCAAGGAGAGGACTGTGGCACCTTAAACCTCCGGGAACACCATAGAGGACCTCGCCACGCCCCGGCCCCCGGCCCCCGGCCCCCGGCCCCCGGCCCCAGTGCAGACCGACAGCTCCAGGGATGGAACCAGGGAGGCATGCAGAGCCCGCCCCCGGCCCCGATGGCGTCACGGTACCCTGCGGGAGGAGCCTGGGGTGGGGGTGTCCTCCTCCCGCAGCCGCACTTCCGCACCTGCGACAGAGCCACATCCTTGGCGGCCACCGCCTCCCGGAATCCCATCTTGCCCAGGAAGAAGCCTTCGGGGCTGAGCAGCGACGAGGCTCCGGGGCGCGCCGGGCCCACGGGGCGGCCCTCGGACAGGTTGGCGTGGAGGCCCGTGGGGATCCGGTGCCTGAGTGTGGAAGGCGAGCCGGAGCACGGGAGGCCCCCCCCCCCGCAGCACAGGCGCCGCCCGAACCCCGTTCTGGCTCCGCGGGGGCCACGCCTCACCTGCGGGCCAGCTCCGCCGCGCTCTCCGCCGCCGCGCCGTTCACCAGCAGCGACACGCTGGTCACCGCGCCGGCCAGGAAGGCCTCCACGATGCCCTCGTCCCGCCGCGGGCAGTAGCCAAAGTCGTCCGCCGTCACCACCAGCCGCACGCGCGGCCGAGCCATCCGCGGCCGGAGCCGAGCGCGCGGCTGGGGCCGGGCGGGAGGGGACGGGCAGCCTGGGCTCCGCCCCGAAACGCAGCCCCGGGCGCGCCCGCCCCCTAGCGGTCACGCCGCGGCCCTGCAGCGGCCTACCCCTCCGCCAAGTGGGCTCCAAACCAAGCAGACGTATTGCATCGTGACACTTTCAGTGACTGCAAAAATAACATTTAATTTTAATAGGAAAAATGCAAAAGAGAAAGCCCGAGGAAGGAAATCGCTTCCCCTTCCCAGGGATTACCGCGGTCAATTTTCTGGGGAGAGTGTCTTTCCAGTATTTTCGCTGAGCAAATAAGACATACCTAATTCCTCTTTTCTCCCACCCCAGGTTTTGAGAAATAATGATCAAATCAATGTTAGCTCATTTTTGTAATGTTTCATTTTAAAAAAATGTTTTCAGCAGAAACCGGTTTGGCTCAGTGGATAGAGGGTCGGCCTGCGGACTGAAGGGTCCCAGGTTCGATTCCGGTCAAGGGCATGTACCTTGGTTGCGGGCACATCCCCAGTAGGGGGTGTGCAGGAGGCAGCTGGTGTTTCTCATCGATGTTTCTAGCTCTCTAACTCTCTCCCTTCCTCTCTGTAAAAAATCAATAAAATATAGATAGATAGATATAGATATTGATATAGATATAAATAGATATATGGGTCTCTTATGGGGTGCCAGGTGTGTTGTATGAAATTTTATCTCCATACTCCCTGTGGAAGGACGTTCCATTCCTTTTCTAGAGAAGGAGCAGAGATCAGAGAGGTAGGAAACGACCGAGCTAGGAATGGAAGCTAGATCTGTGTGGCTTTGAGCAGGGGACTCTCTCCACTGAGCTCAGGGAGACTGCAGAGGGAGGGGACGGCTCACGCCAGACCCTGGGTGTGTTCACAATGGGCGGGGGGAGCGTACTACAAAGCAGAGCCGGAGGCCCAGGGCGCCGCGGGGACAGGCAGGAGCCGGAGGAGGACGTGCCCGTCACTGGGGACTCTGACACCAGGCCCTCAGGCTCGGCTAACGGAGCGGGACGGGAGCCTCTCTCCCTGCGGGCTCCCCGCTCCGAATGTGGGAGTGACCGAACGGGAGGCGCCGAGGGAGGGGCCGCCACAGGCCCCGCCCACAGCCTTTGTGTGGGGACCAATCAAGATGCCGCATGCAAATCACCCCGAGGGCCGTTCCGCGCGCCGCCCTGGAGCTCAGTGTCGCCGCCCCGCAGCGGGCGCAGATCGCACTGGCTGGCGCCATGCGTGGCGCCAACTTTGGTGAGTCGGTGGCTTCTGCCGCGGACCGACCCGGGGCGCCCGGGGTCCCCGAGGGGAGGGGATGGGAGAGGGTCAGGCTCAGGAGGAGGACGTCCTCGGGGACCCCAACCCCAGCGTTTCCGGACTCGGATGTGTACACCGACGACACCTAGGAGTCTCCGAGCCAAAGGGGGGGGGGGGGTGTGCAGGCTCCCTGAGGGACCTGGGGTGGGGGTGAGGTAGGGGTGGGGGTGGGGGTGGGGGTGGAGGGATCTGAGGTGGAGGTTGAGGGTCCTGGGGTGGGGGAGGGGGGAGGGATAGGGGTGGAAGGACCTGGGGTGGGGGTGGGAGTTGAGGGACCTGGGGTGGGGGTGGGGTGGGGGCGGGGGTGAGGGTGGGGTTGAGGGTTGAGGGGCCTGTGGACCCCGGGCCACACTGACACGCCGTGTCCAACAGAGGGACAGAGACTCGAACCTATGGAAGCCTGGGGAGACTCTCACGCCAACTCCCCGCCCGACATAGAGAGGAATCCACGGCCGCACGGCAAAACGGAAGAGAGAGGACGGCTGGCAGCGGACCCATGCACCCACATCATGACCAACTGCCGCCACCACTCCGGGTACCTGGCGGACGATGAGGCCGGACACATCACCTACCGGCCCCGGGTAGGTGTGCCCGGTGGGGTCTGGCTCGGAGGCCCGACCCCTTATGTGTTCCTCACCAGCCGCAGTGCCCCCCAGATCACAACACCCCTTTCTCATTGACTTCCCGTTGGCTTTCTCTCCGGGCCTCTTAATGACGTCCTTGTCTCCTTGACCACCTGCTCTGACCCTCTGCTGGGCCCTAGTCAACCTCAATTTCTTTTTCTTTTTTTAAAAAATATATATTTTATTGTTTTTTTTACAGAGAGGAAGGGAGAGGGATAGAGAGTTAGAAACATCATCAGCTGCCTCTTGCACACCTCCCACCGGGGATATGCCCGCAACCAAGGTACATGCCGTTGCCAGGAATCGAACCTGGGACCTTTCAGTCCACAGACCGATGCTCTATCCACTGAGCCAAACCGGTTTCGGCAGCACATAGGTATTTTTAAGCACATTTTTGTTGATTTCAGAGAGGAAGGGAGCAGGAGAGAGAGAAACATCAATGATGAGAGAGAATCATTGATCAGCTGCCTCCTGCACGCCCCCCCACTGGGGATCAAGTCCACAAGCAGGCATGTGTCCTGATGGGGAATCAAACTGTGACCTCCTGGTTCATAGGTCCACGCTTTATCACTGAGCCACGCTGGCGGGGCACCCTCAATTTCATCCCACGTCCCCCTGACTTCCAGTGGCCTGGCTCAGTAGACTGGGCCCCAGCGTGGGATCATGGAGTCTATTCAAGGCTTAGGATCCAAGATGCAAAAGTAACAATGGAGAGTGCAGGGTGGTCTGTACAGCCCAGCAGTGGAGCAGGACAGACAGATGAGGAGCCCCAGTGGGGCTCAGAGGGGTTTTGTGATTACCCACTCACACCCTGTGTGAGGGCAGAAGTGGGCTTCAGACTCCCAGGCCAGGGCTTGTCTACATGTCAGGGAAGCTCACAGCAATCCTACATCCATGCCCACTTGGCAGAAGAGGAAACTGGATCTCAAGATGGACCCTTGAGCCGAAACTGGTTTCGATAGAGCGTTGGCCTACGGACTGAAGGGTCCTGGGTTCGATTGCGTTCACGGGCATGTACCTTGGTTGCGGGTACATCCCCAGTGGGGGGTGTGCAGGAGGCAGCTGATTGATGTTTCTCTCTCATCGATGTTTCTGACTTTCTATCCCTCTTCCTTCCTTTCTGTAAAAAAAAACAATAAAATATATATTAAAAAAAAAAAAAGATGGACTCTTGTGTCCACAGTCATACAGCCTGGAGGTGGCAGAACTAGGGTCTAAACCCAGGGCTCTAAGCACAGTTCCTTCCTCTGCCCACCCAGCTCCCAGTGCCTTCGAAGGACCCCAGGGACCCCTCCCGCACTGGGGCATTCTTGATCCCTGTGACAGGCCTTCCTTTCTGCGCAGGTGCATCCGCCCAAGAGGCCACCGTTCCTGAGAACGGGGCCGGCCCCCAACCTGGGCCACGTGCCGCACCCCCCGTCCATGTACGGCCCCTCGGGCAGCTCAGGGCTTCGCAGCCACCGCGGGAGCACGAGGGACCCTCGGCCCTTCGGTAACTTCCTGGACTTCCTTGTCGAGGGCCAAGTGCTGGAGAGCCTGCAGCGGGTGGTGGAGGAAGCTACCGAGCGCATGATGGCTGCCAAGACAGAGACTGGGGAGCCGCTGGTGGAGGTGCAGGACCCGCTGGTGGAGGTGCCGAGGGGCGGGCGGCGCGCGCGGGCCCGGCCCAGCCTCAGCACGGTGCACCGGCACCACGCCCAGCCCAGCCTCTGCATCGGGCACCCCAACAACTACCCATCCTGCTCCAGCTCCGTGACCGACTCACACAGCAACGTCACAGCCGGCTTCCCGGGCGCCCACGGCCGGGACAGCGACCTGGGCTACCGCGGCCTGGGCCCACTGCCGCCCATCAGGGACAGACTCCTGCAGGAGAAGAGCCTTAAACGGCTGCTGCGGCTGGAGAACAAAGGGGTGAGATGTGGGGCCGAGGCCTGGGGTGGGTGGGCGGGAGCCCAGCCCAGAGCTCAGGGCCAAGCCTGGGTGGGCTGTTCCCGGACACCTCTGAGGATCCTCCCCCCCACTTCTCTCCAGAAACGCCTGTCCTGCTCCCAGGCGGACTCCCTGCTGTGGGACTCGCTGGGCTCGAGCTTCGCAACACCGGAAGCATCGGAGCTGGGGCTTGGCGAGAGGGAGCTGAAGTTCCTCAAGAAAGAGTTCAACAAGGAGATCAAGTCCTTGCTGAGCCAGTCGGAGGCCTTCAGCCTGCCCGGCTACTCTTCGATCCGCGAGCCCCATCGGACCCTGGACCTCCTGGCCAACCACCACCTCTTCCCCGCCCTGCAGGGTGTGGTCAACCAGGCCGTGGACAAGCTCAGTGGCGCCCTCCGGGAGAACGGCTACCCTCTCTTCCCCTCGGAATGGGAGCCCGCCGTAGACCCCAATTTAGAAAGCACCCCGGGCTCCACGCTGGCCTCCCCCATCCCCGAGGACGAGCTCTACGATGATTTCCCCGTCAACACAGACTCCAGCTTCAAGATGATGGGCAGAAAGACCAAGATCAAGACACGGGACAAGGCGAAGGAAGGTGGTTCCACCATGCCTAGTGCCCAAGGAGCCACCAGATTTAGGCTCCAGGTGATACCCACTGAAGAGCCCAAGGGCCCCTTACCCCAACCCCGGCAGGAAGCACCTGACAAGCACCCCAAAGAACAGAGGCCACCCCCGTTTTCTTCTGGGCCTCTGAACCAAAGGGGCAAGCCCTGGCGGAGCCTGCACCTCACCCTGCCTTCCCCGGGGATCAAGGTGGAAGTGCCCAAGCAGAGCCACCTGACCCAGGTCACAGTTCCGCATTCCTACCACCACCTCCCTGCCTTCGTGCCGCTCACCTCCTTAGTGAGAAAGTTCACCCCAACACTCGCGACGCTGTATTCTGAGGTGGCTTCCTCGAGGGCCAAGCTGGAGAGTTTAGGGGCAAACGTGCAGGGGAAAGGCCGCCACTCCTAGAAGCCGCCACCACTGGCAGGTGCCCATGGCTCAGGCCTCTTGCCCTGTGCAGTGGAAACCGCCTGGACAGGGGGACAAGCTGACGGGGACTAGGAATCCTGGCCTAAATGCTGCCAGGTATTATGAAAGATGAATAAAGGCTATTTTTCATTCTGG